GGCTTTCATTTGTCTTGCACTGAGGAGAGGCTTCCTTCGGGCCACTCTGCCATAAAGCCCCGATTGGTGGAGGGCTGCAGTGATGGTTGTCTTTCTACAACTTTCTCCCATCTCCTGACTGCATCTCTGGAGCTCAGCCACAGTGATCTTTGGGTTCTTCTTTACCTCTCTCACCAAGGCTCTTCTCCCCCGATAGCTCAGTTTGGCCGGACGGCCAGCTCTAGGAAGGGTTCTGGTCGTCCCAAATGTCTTCCATTTAAGGATTATGGAGGCCACTGTGCTCTTAGGAACCTTAAGTGCATCAGAAATTTTTTTGTAACCTTGGCCAGATCTGTGCCTTGCCACAATTCTGTCTCTGAGCTCTTCAGGCAGTTCCTTTGACCTCATGATTCTCATTTGCTCTGACATGCACTGTGAGCTGTAAGGTCTTATATAGACAGGTGTGTGGCTTTCCTAATCAAGTCCAATCAGTATAATCAAACACAGCTGGACTCAAATGAAGGTGTAGAACCATCTCAAGGATGATCAGAAGAAATGGACAGCACCTGAGTTAAATATATGAGTGTCACAGCAAAGGGTCTGAATACTTAGGACCATGTGATATTTCAGTTTTTCTTTTTTAATAAATCTGCAAAAATGTCAACAATTCTGTGTTTTTCTGTCAATATGGGGTGCTGTGTGTACATTAATGAGGAAAAAAAATTTACTTAAATGATTTTAGCAAATGGCTGCAATATAACAAAGAGTGAAAAATTGAAGGGGGTCTGAATACTTTCCGTACCCACTGTATATATATATATATATATACACACACACAGACTTGACTTAAAATGTTTGAGCTAATTTTTGCCTAACACCAAACTAAACAATAATCCATATCCAGAAAAAAATAACACTTTAAAGCTAGGTAGACAATTATGCAAAATAAAAGTATGTTAGTAGATTCTGTAAACACCCCTAATTTTCCCCTCCTCATTGATTCCCCTTTTGTGTAAAGTTTGATTTTCAACTTTGAGAGACATGAGCCACTGTAAAATGTTATGTCCTTGAAGTTTTAAACGTGTTTAATGCAAATGTTTACTCATTTAAACCACTCTTATGACTCCATTCATTTCTAGCCTTGTCCACTTGTTTGCATCCACTAGTTAACTTCATCTGAGCAAGTGCACTTGGGAAAGTGAAAGCAATAATGGCAAGATCCACCAGCCATTAGAATGGCTCCTACAATAACTTTTCTTTAAGGACTAAACATAGCGGGTTTGTCACAAAGCGAAACGAACAAAGTAAACTTGAGTATTACGTCACCAAAATAAAATGTTACACACATACGAGGGGGAGGGGCACGGCAGCAGGTTTAGCTTCCTCGCTAACTGAGCAACTCAAGCCAGCCATTGGTAGTACTGCTGTAGCATGCAACTGGCTAACTGGCAGAACAGACATTAATTAGCAGCTGATCTCGATGTCATCATTGTTCTCTTACCAATGCCCTGGACTTCAGAGGTCCTGGTTGAGCTCCAGAGAGAACAAAGGCGCAGGCTTTAGGGTGTATTGAAAATGAAGATCAGTTCAAAGAGCGAGTGAGGTGCTCAGTGACTGTGGAGGTCTTCACCAGGTGCTTCCATGTCTGTTTACCAGGCAGCATTCTGGGACAAGAACGTCACTGGCTGACTCCAGCAGCACGCATGCACCGAGCACGCCTGTCACTGGTCAGTATGGTGGGTGTCTTAAACGAGAGCGCTGCCTATCTGGACAGCATTTCTGGGCGTCGTTCGCGGGCTTGTAAGGCTCCAGTGCGTTTTTGTGAGTCATTTGCGTAGTCGGGACTCTTTCACAACAGCTTTTCGAGCGTCTCAGACGCGCCCTCGGAGCCCAAATAGGCTGTCTAGGTAGGCGGCTCAGTGGGTTTTGAAACACAGCCTGCTACTGCACTTCCGCTATAACGCTATTCCATATATATATCGTGAACTAAAATACACTAATCAAAACCACACGCAGCCGTCACAACTTTGAAATGACTTTGGCGATATAATAATGAGGGGAAAAAAACCTTGCCGTTTAGGCAGGGTCGGCGCCAGAGCGCACAAAGTGAGGGGGCAGGCACAATTTACTGGGGGGGGCCGCACTTTTTTTGGGGGGGGCCCGGCTCTGTAAAATAACCTACTGGAAGCTCTGTTGGTTTGCTGTATACACAATACATTTTTTTTTTTCTGAGGTAAATTAAAAAAAAGATACGTCTCGTATAAGTTGCATTTTCAGAAATAATAACGGCAGTTTTAACACAAATAAATAGCCTATGGATTTCCCCTCAAGGTACCTTAAAACATTCGTAGTTTGTGGTTTATTATCTTATTAATTAAAACACATCAGCCATAAAATAGTACAATGGCAAATTCG